GGGCTGGCCGCGCGCCTCGGGGACTCCAGGGGCCGCGCGCGGGAGGAGAGGGGGACGCCGGCGCGCGCCGCCCCGAGGACCCGCCCTAGTTCCCGCCCCGCGCCCCGAGGACCCGCCCCCTAGAACCGAGGACCCACGTCCCGCCCCGCTCCGCCCCGAGAACCCGCCCCCCGATCCCCAAGGACCCACGACCCACTCCGCTCCCCGAAGACCCGCCCCCTGAGCCCCAGGGACCCACGGCCGCACAGCTCCACGGGGACCCGTCCGCCCGAGGACCTGCCCCGCACCCCAGGACCCGCCGCCAATCCCCGCCCCGCGCCCCGAGGACCCGCCCCCCAGAACCGAGGACCCGCCCTCCGAGCACCCGCCCCTGCCCCTAAGGACCCGCCCACCTTCCCCGAAGCCCCGCCGCAGGCCCTGAGGACCCGCTCTTGTCCCTAAGGGCCCGCCCCCACGCCCTGCCCCCGCCAGCCGCTGCTCCCGGATGGATGCACGCTCTTGTCCGCGCAATCCGAGCCCAGAAGAGAAGCAGCGCCCATCCGCCCAGGGCGCCTCTTCCCCACCTAACGCCCGCACTTTCTCTCTCGAGCTCGCCCCCGCCATGGAGCCACCCGGTAAGGGGGCTGATTTGGGCCATTGTGTTGGATGCTGTGGGAACCACCAGAGGCCTGACCCTTTAGCCACACCTGTCTGTACGAGCTGCCAGGTGACAGATGTGTGGGCCAAGGCTCTGCAGGGAGGCATCTAAGGTATAGGGTCTAGCGCCTCAAAAGAAAGGGGTAAAGAGAGGGTGAGCAGCACCTCCAGGCCTGTCTGGTGAGCAGGAAGGTTTCTGCAAGGCTGGGGGAGTTGCCAGCAACGTCACTGAGTGCTTGTTACCTGGAGGGCTCCGGAGGAGGGGCTGCCCACACCAAAATCCTGCCCTTGAGGAATCTGTGATGAAGCTAAGAAGACAGGACAAATAGGTGTTAAAAACTATTATAAAGTGTACTATAAATAATTTTACTTTATAAGTCCTATAATTATAAATTTACTCAAAATTAATTGTAAAAGAAATCTGGAGAATACTAAGAAGTGAAAGAAAAAAGTTAAAATCACCCATAATCATACTACTCAGCAATTACTATTAATCTTTTGGTATATTTTATCTCTGTTTATTTTTCTGCACGTATATATCTTTTACAAAATTTTGATCATGCTGTTGAACTAGTTTTGCAACCTGCTTTTTTCACCTCATGTTATATAAAGAAAATTTTCATTAAATATTCTTAGAAAATGTAGTTTTTCAGAGCTGCATATATGAATATAGGCATAATTTTTAATCATTCTATTATTGGATCTTTAAGATGTTTCCAATGTCTTGCTTTTATATAATACTGTGTTTCTTGAATTCACTTATTTCTGATTATTTCTTTAGAATCAACTGCTAAAAATGGAATTATCAGGCCATTGAGTACATATATCTCTAAACGCTTTAATACAAATTGCCAAATTGCATTACCCAAAATTTAATTTTTATTTCATTTCACTAAATATCCTGTTACATGCCAGGGACAAAGACCACAGAGGTGTGGCGTTTCAGTCCCTGCCCTTAAGAGAAATGCTAGGCTGGTCAGGTGTCCGGACATGTCCACAGAGTTCCCAAACAAGGCTCGTGTGAAGCAAGCCAGCAAACAAAAATGCCAGGAGATGCCCACAGAGTCAGGAAAAAGCCGTCCCAGACGGAAGCGGAGGATGCCCACCAGTCTGAAAGCTAGAAAGGACCTGGCGTATTAGTTTATTATCTATGCAAAATTTAATAAATTCCAGGTGGAATTTTTAAAAATGTCAAAGAGATACACACTCAGCGAGCTGAGAGAGAGCAAACTGTGCAGAGGTGCTGACTTGCTCTTCAAGAGACTGAATGGGAGTCTTTGGCTCTGAGCAGAGTCACAGGTTATTGCTGATTGCTGACAGTGGGCATTGTTGTCTGGTGTGGGTGGGAGCGCCGAGGGCATGCTTGGGCCGAGCTCCAACCCAGATGTTTGAAGAAGGGGGATGAACAGCATTCTAGGTGACGCAGGTGGGGGCATCAACCAGCAAACCCAGGGCTTGCAGAGTGGGAGGAAGTCGGGAAGCTGCAGAATTCCAGGCCTGGTGGAAGTGAGATAATTGCTGTCGTGCCTGTTGCCCAGCAACACGTGCTCCCCCTGGCCTGTTAGCGATACCCCACCCAGACACACTGAGGCAGAGTCTGCCCTGGAACAAGGTCCCTGGGGACTCGTGTGCGTGCTGCCCCCTTTTCTCACTCATCTGTCGCCCAGTCAGTTCTTGATCAGCAGGATCAGCAGGAGGAAGGGCTGGGAAACTGGCTGTCTGCATGTGGACCCTGAGCTTCCAGCCGAGACTTGAACGGCCTTCTTTAGGGCTTCAGGCCTGCAGGTGGGTTGGGTGTAGACAAAAACAACTGGCCGAGCTGAGCCTTCAGCTGGAAAAGCTGCTCCACAGTCCAGTAGCGCGATTGAAAAGCTCTGCACGGGTCCTGGCCTGACGCACAGCCGTGGGGCCACAGGAGCCTGGGGAGGCTGGCTGGTGGGCTCCAAACGGTGCTCGTTTGCCCCAGTCACAACTGGCACACAGTGCTGACTGCTCTTCTGTTTTCTCTGAGCTAGCTGCCTCAGGAAGGTGTGCAGAGGTTTAGGTCAAATCAAGTAAGCAGACTCTCAGGAAGGTGTTGGGAACCGTGGAGGCCTTGTATTTCCGTTGTGCGTTCTGCAGGCATCCCACAAAGGACCCGGATCTAGCGAACTTGACAAGGCACTTAATCGAGCCTCAGGTTTCTTTATTTGTGAGGTGGGCACAGCACTGCTTCCCTTAACGTTTCCTGGCGATATCCTGGAGACCAAAGACATACCAGCTGCAGCCCCGCTTTGAGATCTTTAAAGTGCTCTGCTAATATCCGTGGTTGGAGGGGTCTTGTACCTTCCCCGCAGTGCCCCTCCGGCCTGGGGCAGGTGTACTGCCCTTGAGATGAATGCCCAGCCAGAGGTGCCCTTCCCTGAGGTACACACATTCCGTTTGTGCAGGGCCAGTGGCTGGCTTCAGACTGAGAAGAAAGGTGAGAAAGAAAATAGAAGGGATGGGGCCTAATCCTCCTCAAATCTTGGGCTTCAAATCGTCCATCCAAAATTGGTACCCAAGCCCCCCAGGATCAGGAAGGACACACGTTATAGACCCAGGAAAAGGTGACCCCAAAGCCCTCGGTTTGCAGTCACAGTCGTCAGTAGTCAAGTGGAAGCAGTGGTAGACTCACAGTCTGGAACTTCTAGGAACAGGGACTAAAGACATTCTCATCGGGAAGAAAGGGGTTTGGTCATGAAACCCACAGAGAGACAAATTGTTTTTAAGACCCTGATAATAGAGAGGAGAAACATCAGCCTGTGAGTTGTGAGTCAGCAGTCAACAGATCTTGTTGATGCCAATGGTGATGGAGCAGAGTCTGTGATGGGGAAGCGACTCCAGCCAATCCCTCCCGCCCCACCCCCACCCCCATTCCTGGATAGGAGGTGAGTCCTGCACACATGGGTGGCCCCGGGGCTGACCAGAGCCCGAGTCTGTGCAGTGGGATAAGTGCAGGTGTTCCTAAACAGAACAGTCTTACCCTCCCTCCCCAGGGGCACTTGGTGATGTCTGGAGGGTGTGCTAGTGGCAGGTAGAGGCCAGGGATGCTGTAAAACACCCTACAATGCATAGGGCAGCTCACAACACAAAAATACTTGGCCCAGAATGTCAGCAGTGCTGAAGGTGAGAAACCTGGGCATGTGGTAACGCTGGCCTCCAGGAGAAGCTCAGGATCCCAGCCCATGTCTGGCCCCAAGGAGGGTGGTCCTCTCCTCTAGCTTGGTCAAGTTCAAGGACCTTTTGGTGTCCACTATTGGTGGGTGACCTGGTGCTCTGGCCTCAGAAGTCAGAAATGGAGGGCTTGTTAGCTCCCTAACTTCCGTGGGCTCAGAGTGGCCCCACAGCACCCCCTCCCCCTCCCATCGTTGTAGAGCAGGGTCTGAAAAGCCGGGGCGAGTGGCTGCTGGCTTTGTTGCTAGCAGGTTTGGTCTTGGTCTCACTGGTTAGCAGTGAGGTGGTGGCTGCTCTGTGGACCACCCTTGATGGCAAGCCTCCAGGGTATGCTGATAAGTAACAGAGGTCTGATGAGGACACGCCTTCACACCCCGACTCCAAGCCCGTGGCTTTCAGAGTTTGCCTCCTCAGAAGGCTCTCCCTGCCACAGGCACCCCCTTTAGACCCTCAGCATGCTGCCTAGCCGTGCACCCGGGGACCCAGGAGCTGTGTGGGGTGTGGGTCCACTCCAGAGCAAACTCCAAGTCAGTGCAGCTCTGCCTGAGGCTGAAAGGAGATCCATTAGTAGGTTAGTGATGGGTATCTCTTGGGATGGAATTCTCTCCATTGTCTTCTGCATTTTAAAAGTGTCTGCCGTGAGTATGTATTCCTGTAATCAGAACCCTATGAAAGTGGAAGTTCAGTGGAGGCGCACAGCTTTGCAAAAGGATCATGTCTGGCTGTTGACCAACCTGTGTCCCTAAGTGCACATGAAGTTGAGGGCTCTGTCCGCAGCAGTGACCTCCTGGAACACCAATGTTTCCCAAATTCCAGCCTGTAGACCACACGTGCTCCTGGTCCGGAGACTTGAGTTCTGTTTTTCTCAGGTTCCTCATCTGTGGAGAAAAAGGGCAGATACCTTCTGTGTGTGACCAAAATGACCCCAACGACCCAAATGACCCTTGGAGAGTCTACTTCTGAGCGTGGACATGTTCTGGACGGAGGAGATGCTGTTTTCTGCCCCTCACAGCTCGATCTCAA